GTGGGGTGCGGAAAGAGGAAAAGCCGCCGTAGCTCGAGCCGTCGGAGGAGCTGGAGGTTGTCGTGCGGCGGGCACGGGTTACCGCCGGTTTTGTCACCGGAGGGATGATTCTTCTGCTCTCCGGGAACGCAGGGGTGCTCTCCTTCCTGGCAGAGACGCGGTCCTGTGCTCCGCGGCTATCTGTCTCATCGATGGAGCGGTAGATAGCGTCGAGGAGAGTGGAGGAGAAAGACGGGTAGTCGCGACACCGTCTTCCAGGTTGTCTATCGATTTCATTTCGCCATCTCTCCATTCCTCTGCAAATGAGGTTGCAGAGAAGACGAAGAAGAAGAAGAAGAAGAAGAAGGGGCTAGAGGAAAGCGCAGAGTGCGGCGGGAATAGAGAGAAGGGGGATTGTGGTTCCTTTTGAGCCTTTCACGCGCGGGTCGGGTGCTCCGACGTGGCAGCTCCCTCTGCTTTTGCTGCGTGGCCCACGTCGATCATGTCCGTCCGATCCTGTTCCTCGGGACGTTGGATCGAGGCCCATCGGATCCGGACACCGCCCCCCGTAAGCTTACTCTCCTGTATCGTATTTCTTATTTCCAGTTCTGTCCCTGCATCTTAATGAAGAAAGCCAGATGGGGAGGGAGGGTACAGGAGGGGTGCCTTAACGAGCAATAAGTTTTTACTTTATTGAATAAATTTTACAGTATAATTTTTTTTAAAAATATGCAAATAGAATTTCTTTGTTGGTGTAAATAAGGCATTTATTGATCTCCTTTAGCTCCCACAATCACTTTCAGGACCACCCTGAGATGGATTTTGCTGAGCTTGTTATAGCTCTATTAGAAAAAGTTGGGTTCCATTGCTAATCATATCATCTTCCATGTAGTTGTTTTTTGGTTGGAAGATTTACATGCATACCCCTCAATTCCTATTTTTTATATTCATATCTAACACCTCAACTTTACTTTTTCTCTATACATGTCACGTTATCTATGCATGAAAATGTATCTTTATTTTTTAAAAGTTAAAATGATAATGTTTTTATGTGTTACGAAATATTTAAGCGATATTAATGTAAAAAGTAAAAAAAATAAGTGCTAAATATGTAAATTCATAGTAAATAAGTGGTGTGTGTGCAAATGCCCCTTCGTTTGTTTTTATCTCAAGGATGCTATACATCACATACTATATGTGGTCTCATTCTATTCTTTTTGGATTGGCCTAGTCTATATATATATATAGATGTCATAACATGCTTCACTTGACCTCTTAGGCATTACACACAAAAACTATAGAAGAAGAGCACATAAATAAATAAACGCAAGGGGTTGGACCATTACATATGCATGGATATAATAATTAAGATCCTGGAGAGTACATGTGGATAGCTATCCGAGCAAGTGCTTTGAAGGCGTCCGTTTTTGAGTAGGTTAAGTTATGAGGGGATAGGTGAGGTTACATGCTCTAAGTAGGTTGGATAGTTAGGTTTCTATAATATTTTTTTAGTTCAGCGTCGCCATAGGTTCGGGTGAGTTGCTTCTAGGTTGAGATGGGTGTGTCCCTACCAAGTTAGACCACATGATTCGGGCGAGTTCATTTGAGCCGGACAAATTCCTGATGTGTCAAGTAGGCAATTGTTTGATCTAGACATATTCTTATCACTCCTACCAAGTTAGACCATATAATTCGGGCGAGTTCATTTGAGTCGGACAAATTCTTGATGTGTCGAGTAGGCAATTGTTTGATCTAGACATATTCTTATCATTTTGAAGGAACATTTTAGGTGGATATTGCATCTTTTTAAGATGTATGGTCTCATATATTCGTCAGTGCATACAACCCATTAAATAATCTTGTATCGTAAAGATAATGATAGAGAGAGAAAGAGAAAATGGGAGAGAAAAAAGAGACAAAAAGCGTTCTCCAGGGAGGGATGAAAAATGTCCTATACAACCCATTAAATAATCTTGTATCGTAAAGGTAATGATAGAGAGAGAAAGAGAAAATGGGAGAAAAAAAGAGACAAAAAGCGTTCTCCAGGGAGGGATGAAAAATGTCCCATTATATTATTTTCCCTCCCCTTATATATATAAGAGGAAATCAATAGTAATAGAAGTAATATATTTTGTATTGTACGGTGTCTTTCTTCAGTGTCTTGATAGAAAAACTGTGATGTGAATGTCATGTATTACCAGTACAATGACAATCTCTGGTACCTATATGAAAAGAGCGAGCCCCAAGTGATGGGTGGAGTTTTTGATAAGGGATTGACGGATGTTCTTATTGGTCATGCATGATGACTTCTTATTAGTTTTGATTGCTTCTTCTGATAGCTGACATTGAACATGTAGGCTAAATTGCCCTTTAGAAGAAAATGAGTATGATCGAAAGGGCAGGCAAGTTCTATTCAGCCACTTTGACAGGTACTGAGCTCAATTTAGTTGGAGAAAATCAATGAAAATTTTCCTATACTCGTATTTGTGTACAAAATGAATATATATGATTTTAGAAATTTTAAACCTGAAAGTTTTCATAATTTTATAACATTTACAAGTACATGAATATTATTTATAGTAAAATAAAACTTAGTTAAGTGTTATGTTGAAAATCTCCAGGGATTGAAATGAAGCTTGGCATACAAGCAAAACAACGTTTAATTTAAGATTGTTTCTCTATTTGGAAGTCTAAATGGCCAAGTTTTGATGACAATATCCACCATAAATAAGAGAATGAGATTATTGTTATAAAAAAAAATAATAAGGCAAGAGGAAAGAACTAAGAAAAATATGTTTTTAGTCATTTTTCTTACACGTTAAAATAAGATGATTTTTTCTTTCTTTTCTTATACAAAAGGTGAGAGTATATTAAGGGTCCGTTTGTGACAACTGTAGCTGTTTGAAGAAACAAATACGAAGCTGCTACAGAAAAAACTGTTTTTCAAAAAGTTATGGCTCCTATTACATTTTTTTTTTCAAAATATCAGATCGTAGTTTTCTGACAGTCATCATAGTTTAACAGCTTAGGTTGAAAAAAAAAATAATTTTCTATAACAAAAACTTCTAAAAAAAGCAAGAAAACAGTTTCTCTAACAGAACTGTGGCGACGGTCTGAAAAAAAAAAACAGATATAAAGCGGTTTCAAACAGACTCTAAGTAAAATTCATACAACATGTTTAAAGTTTGAAATATGTGTATTTTTCAATAATTGTCTTAACATAATAAATTTAGTTGAGATTTTAATTGAAAAAATATGAAGGGAGAACTCGCTAAGCTCTAGACAACATTGCCAACCCAGCTTTAAGATGGACCCACAAACCGAATTTGTAATGATCTCATCAGTCGAATTCGAAGTAATACTTGGTTCAATGGGCTTATGGAGAATTCACTCGACTTATGGTGAACTTATCGACCGACTAATCTTCAACATAGTCACCCATACTCTTGAACAACTAGGTGGTTTCTTAAAAAGAATCAATAATGCTCGATTACAATTCAAAGTTCTTACTAAGACTACACATCCCTATGTTTTATGAAAAAATAATCAATTGGTATTGTTATTTAATTATTTTATTGTTCATTACCTCATTAAGTAGATTTTTTCATAATATTCAAATCCTGATCCTAACCTATAAATAGTGTTGCGAAGAGCATTGTGGATAATGCAAAAAAGTGCAACTTAGTGCCATCTCTTGGAGAAATTATTACGTCAAATGTCAGCACGTCCCGACACCGGCGATGATCCCTCCACATGAAATGCATGATGGCGTGGTGGATGTGAAGTTCGTGGGATATAATACTTTTCTCATCCCTTTTACTCATACTTCCCTATAATAACACTCTTTTGTCAATGCTCATATTCTTATCACACATATGAATAAATCAAGATTGGCAGGGTTGTCCCTTAAAATTCTCAAAATATTTTTGTCTCAGAAAGGATGAAATTTGCATTGAAAATGCTTTTTGCAGCCATATTTCTTGTCTCAACTGATTTGTAAATGTTGGTAATTGTAGGGGTACTGAAAAAAAGCAGCAATTCTTCAGGGATTCCATTTCTAATCCTTATTCTGTTTCTTCTTTCACTTTCGTTTGTTTGAGAGAACCAGATTAGCATGCTTTCTATGTATGCTAGTCGTCTTATCTAAGCAAGGCATATATTTGCTTTCTTCCTTTTTTTTAAGGAAAAAAAATTGAATATTAAAATATTAGATCCTAAAATTTTTGTAATAATATTCAATTTCTATAATCAGGGTTACCATCACAAATCGGCTTCAAAGTTATTTAATAGTAAATGTTTATTACATTGATCGGAGTATTCTTTAACTTGTTGTGCCTCGGAAAATTCGTGATAATACAGTAGTGATTTATCGTCTTAGCATTATACGAAAGTTTGACACACATATTCATAAGAAAATATAGTGAGAAGAGACACCATAATTTTTACATGGAAAATTTTCACTTAGCCCAATCAAAACAATCCAATATAAGTTTATAAATATAAGAGTACACCCATCTCATCTCTGAAGATAGGAAAAATGTAATTATAATATTACACTGGAAATATAATTGTTTTTATATAACTCAAAAAAAATACAATTGTTAGGAAGTTTAACAACAACCATAGTCTGACTTCAAGAGTTGCAAGCAGTGATCGCCAGCGATCGGTGGTTGGCGGTGACAAGTGATGACATGCACGTGGTGGTCGATGGGGGCTGGCGGCTACGATCGACGGTAGTTTGCGACTACGGAGGCTGGTGGTTACTCATCATGTCTTTTCTCTAGAATAGGATCTGAAACTTAACTTCTTCTTCTCTTTTTCTGCTCTCCCACTAAGTGAAGAAAGTGGTCTATTTATAACTATTATGGGAGAAGTATTTTGGTGTTTTATCGAATAGTTTTCCTAACCACCTAATTGGATGGTACATGTTGATTTCATTAGAGTATATATGACTTTTTAAAAATTTGAGTGCCTTAGTAATATCTAAATTTAGTAATCTTAGGTCTGTTGGATTCCACTCGTCGTGATGCTTAATTCGATTATAAATATGTGAAATTTAGAGTTCATGAGACTATTTAATTGATGATCTAATACTTCTAATTGCTTCAAAAACTTGATCTGGGCCTGGTTGGACGTGAATTGAACCAAATTTAAAATCATTGTATTTGTCTTGTTCAGAAACTCAGATTTATTATAAGTTTGATGAAATCAGAGATTATATGATCATGAAGTTGTATTTGGAATGTCTCTTTCTCAAAATACTTTGAGATACTGCATGATGTTAAAAAATTGTTGAAAAACACAAAAAAAAAAAGCTAATTGTGTATCAAATCGATCTAAAATTGCTGTTAGGAAGACATCAGCGAAGTGGATAAAGTCAAGGTAATAAGGACTCATTGATCCACCTAAATCACCTCATATGAACCTTTTGCTCGTGAGTCCACATTTGGGAGAAAATGTTACGTCCGGTCAATTGGACATGCTGTCGACGGCGAGGATCGCATCACACTGTCGGACGCACGATGTAATATGATCTACAACGTCTTTCTGCATGTCCGA